GAGAGTAGGTGTTGGTTTGAAAGAATAGGGGGGTCATGGGGGGTTGGTGGAAAACAGGGGACGGAGTAGAGGAACTAGAGGAAGGACAGGAAAGAGAGGAACGAAAGAAAAGCTAAAAAGGCACAAGAAGACGCCTTCACCGTTGCTCCGGACTCCATGATTCCACCTGCGGCAAGTTCAACACCCAAGCCAGCGAGCGATGCTGAGGGCGTAGAATAGGCAAAAGCAGCACGTGAAAAAACGGTTGCAAAGCAGATGGTTCCTGCGATAAGCGTTGCGAAGCATTTCGTCGAAGAGCACAGGTATACCCTCTCCGATAGGCAAGCGGTGCAGAGGAGGCTGGTGATGGCGAGATTGGGCAGCAGGGCGAGGAGCAGAAGAGGAGCGAGAATGGTGCTCAGCGCACGGGTATCAAACCGTATGCAAGGCAAGTCATAAGGGGCAGGGCAAGTCTCACTAGGCTGCATGATGCTAGGCTGAGCTGCGGGGTCGCGCTACGGGACAAGACAGAGACCGGAGGAGTGGAGTCCTCAGCGCGTTACCACTTCTTCCTCGTCCCAGTCGGCGGTGAAATCCATAGAGCGAGCAGGTACCTCGTTCTACCGTATAGCAAAAACAGGACCGGGCCGTGCCTCAACCGTCTTGTGAGTGTCGGCTGCCACACGACAGACCGATGAATAGTGTTGGTCGAGCCGATCTTCATATAGTCACCGTCCTTGCCCAGAATAGCATCCTTCAAGCGGAAGCTAATGCCACCTACCGTCCATCGGATGCACTAATCTGACGATAAGGCCAAAATAGCAAAAAAAGGAAAAAACAGAAAGAAAAAAAAGAAAAAGAAAAAAGAAAAAGAAAAAAGAAAAAGAAGGGGTCGAAAGGGAGGGAAACAAAAAAAAGAAAAAAAAGGAAAGAAAGGAAAAACAGGAGCGAGCGCGCGCGCGATTTCGCGTATGTTCCTTTTATTCGCGCTGTGCCCCATTGGAGCGGGTTGATCGTGCTGCACTACTGGCCAGGGGAGCGAGCTACTTCCTTTTGGTTCAAATGTGTCAACCCACATCTGCTGGGGTCGGGGCGGTTCCCGCTGGCTCTCAATCCGCCGGGCGCCAAACGGAAAAACCAAGTTTCAATTTTAGCAGCCTCAAAAAAGCTAGAAAGCTACAAAACCAAGAAACAACGAAAAAATGAAAAAACGAAAAAAGGACAGAATGAAAAAAGCAAAAAAAGGCCCAGGGGGGAAGGGGAGTAGGAGAGAATCAATACAGTAGTGCAAATGCCCTTCATTGGCCGTTGAGTCCAGTGTCCCTTTTTCGCCAATTACTCCCGTAATTCCTCTGTGTGTGTGTGTGTGTGTGTGTGTGTGTGTGTGTGTGTGTGTGTGTGTGTGTGTATGTGTGTGTGTGTGTGTGTGTGTGTGTGTGTGTGTG